GGGACGGATTCTTCCTACCTTCAGAAAGAAGGATGAGCTCATCTCACAGACTGGAACTTTCTGCAATGACCACAGCATTCTATTTCTGTCCTGGGGGAGGGGACAGTCGCTATGCCAGAGGTGGCTTCTTAGCACATGGAATGTGGCAAGGGTCATATTTCTAATGTGACCAACTTTAACTCACTGAAATTTCAACAGCCACATGTGATTAATAGTCTCCTATTGGACAGTGAAGTCATAAACCTTCATGGAAATAATAATATAAAATGCCACATATATCTTTAGTAAGAGATCTTAAAAATTATCAACCAGAACGTGCATCCCCTTGGTACCACTGAGTGGCAAATGAGCGAGAGTGGTTGTAATTACCAGTAGGTAGTGGCGGCTTGTGTACATCTTTGCAGTGTCTATACTGGGGGCCAAGGTGACCTTGGGAAATTGAGGAGGGGAACGGCGCCCTCAACCAGATGTGAACTCAAAGTCCTTCGGCAGCACCTCCTCTTCTGTGACTTTGTTCACTCCATCCCTTTCTTATAGCAGCTTTTTGAGAACTACATCATCCCAATAATTTCAGCCTTTCCAATTCATCCTGGAAACCATCGCTGAATCTTCATTCCCGCTTCATCGTGTTCTCTCTGGCTTTCCGATCCAGTTACAGTTGGAACCGATACGCCACAGTTGGTTAGCAAGTGCTTCTCTCATTATTTTGTAAGTTTTAGCTTGCTCTCAAAAACTAAATCACAGAGCTGGGGTGTGGCTCAAGTGGTAGGGTGCCTATGTGGGGCTTGAACCTAGCCCCTCCCCCAAGGACTGCAAAAACAAAGCTAAACCATAAACTCAAGGGCAGGAAACATGTCTATGCCTTCTACAGACTTGGAATTTGAACATAGTATTAGCACACAGTAGGTTCTCTGCCACATTGTAGGTGTTTCACCACAGAGTAGGTGCTCCACAGAGTTATAGCTGACAGAGACAGGTGTTATTTTGTCCCTTTCCCCGCTCTGAACTGTGTGTGTGCACTCCACCTTTCCCTCGGGTTAATGCACAGCTGCACGCTTGTATCTGGATGCAATCCTGAGGCCATGATACCCCTGCTCTGCTTGGCGTATTAAATTTACAGTAAAGTCAAAGACAGATGGCAAAAAGGAAACCTTAATAGTCCCTGATATTATTAAATCTTCTTGTTGGAGGGCTCTAAGAGCTTCAGAATATTTTCCTTGAGTCCTCCTGGATTACCTGTTCCATCAATGGAGTTATAGACCTGGTCGGAGAAGCAGTTCTGTGCAATCATTTACTGGAGGGGAAATCGTTACAATCCTCCTTCAGAGGCTCCCAAGTAATAAGCTTGCTATCCTCTCCTCGTGCCAGGAGAGCTGCGTGGGTTTGATGAATAGCCCCATTTGGCCCAACTGCAGCTCTAAACAGATGTCTGTAAATACCACAGGAAAGGGCCCTCAGAAAGTGCTTGTGGATGCTTATGTTGGCAAACAAGCAGTAACTGGCTGTCTCCCTTCCAAAGAAGATCCACCTGACGAAGGAATCATTACTCCTCTGTTTTGCCGGGGACTGCGTTAACTAGCTTGGCTTCTTGAAACTCATCTCAGTAGCTCCTCGGCTAGTGGACTGGGCTTGTCCACCCATGAGACATCGTGTTTACTGCCACTGCTGGTAGTAGGCCGGTGCTATGGCCTCTAGTGAGCAGAGGTCAAAGATGGTACAAGCTCTCCCACAATGCACCTCACTCCCAGCCAATAATTATCCAGACCAAAGCTGGGTGCCCATGGCTCACACCTGTACTCCTAGCTACTCAAGAGGCTGAGATCTAAGGATCACAGTCTGAAGCCAGTCTGGGCATTTGGAAGTCCATGAGACTTACCACCGATTAACCATCAAAAGCTGGAAGTGGAGACATGGCTTAAGGGGTAGAGCACCAGCCAGGAGCAAAAAAGCTCAAGAGAGTACAGTGCAGCACTGTGTGGAGATGGAGGGAAGCCTGTGGACTGGAGACCAGGTCCCAGAATCCTGTGCCTCAGGACAGTAAAAGCTTGCTTGCTGCTGCGGCATGCTGCCTGGCTCCTCTTGCTCAGTACCCTTGGTCAACTGAGTCTGTGGCCAGCCCTGAGCAGTGAGGGTGAGTCCTCTGCTGCCTTCTTCACACCGACGTGGAGAGCAGAGCTGCCCACCGGGAAATTCCCATCTGCACTGCTGTTCCCGTTCCTTAGCTGGCTGAGGTCTCTTAAATGCCAGGCTCCACAAGCAGCCAGGACCCGGCCTAGCCCCGCCTCTTTCCTGGTCGATAATGCCCTTGGAGCCATGACCTTGGCCTTTCAGAAGCCTCTGGAGGTAGTTGGAGAACACCCCAAAGTCACTCAGATGGCTCTATTTCCCTCCCTTTGCCTCTTGAGAGTCTTCCTGCCTGAAATGCCCCGACTTCCGCTTTTCTGGCTCCTGCCTATCCCCGCTCAAAGGACCTTACTCCAAAAAGGCTTCCTCTTCCTCTTTCTTCTTCTCTGTTTCAGTGGTAATAGGGCCTCGGTGCTGGCCAGTCAGGTGCTTTACCACTTGAACCATGCCCATAGCCCTTTGTGCTTTTGCTACTTGTCAGGTGGGGGTCCTGTGTTTGGCCCGGAGTCAGCCTCAGTTATCATCCTCCTAGCTATACCGTCCGCGTAGCTGGGATTACAGGCATGTATCACCATAGCCAGCTGGTTCTTCAAGATTAAGATCTTGTTGACTTTTTGCCAGGGCTAGCCTTGAGCTGTGATTCTACTCTCTCTACATCCCAAGCAGCTGCGACTACAGGTGTGAGCCACACACTCAGCCACGCCTTCCTTCTTTAGAGTCACTCCAGCAGGTATTCTCAAGGAGCATTCTCTGCCCCAGAGCAGAAAAAAGTGGTCCGTGGTGAAGGAAAAGTAATCTATTTTTTTAAGCATATAAAATACAGATACACATACAGAATGTAAGCACACACACACATACGGTAGATTCAAATTTCAGTCCTCACTTAAACGCTACTAGATTTGTTGGGGTGCCTCAGGACATGGCATTTGAGCATAAGTTCCTTCTCTTCCTCACAAATGAGTTAATCTTAAGAGATGATTCCCAGCTTCCTCTCCCCATTGGCCAATGAGAACTCCATATAGCCCAACTCCACCCCATTCTAGCCTACTGAGATGCCACTATGAATAACATATGGATGTCTGGCTCATTAAATTAAAAAGACTTTCATCTTGGCAATTACAGCGGAAAGCATATATTATTGCCTAATTTAATTGAACAAGAAATAGAATCACAGAAAAAAAGAAATAGAATCATAGGGAGCACTGTCAATAGGGAAAAAAAAGGACTGGCAGGAAACAAGGAGAAATGTTAACTACATTAGCTTTCTCTGGGACGTGGTCATGCGTTTATTTCCCCTTAAGTTCTTCATTAGTTTAGGAATTTCCTGTAATGAGCATGTATTTATTTTCTATTTTATTCGTTTTGGAGTTGGTACTAGGCTTCAAACTCAGAGCCTTGTTCTATTGGCTTTTCTTTTTTAAGCTCACCACTGGCACTCTATCTAACCTGAGCCACACCCTAAGTCTGACATTTTGCTGGTTAGTTGGAGATAAGAGTCTTATACATTTGTCTGCTTGGGCTAACTTTGAACCATGATCCTCAGATCTCACTCTCCTGTCCAGCTAGGACTACAGGTGTGAGCCACTGGTGCCCGGCTGAACATACATTTATTTATTAGTTATTTATTTCTGCTGGTCCTGGGGCTTGAACTCAGGATCTGGGCTCTATCCCTAAGCTTTTGTGCTCAAGGCTAGCACTCTACCACTTGAGCCACAACTTCACTTCTGGCTTTTTTAATGATTAGTTGGAAAGAGTCTTCCTGTCCTGGCTTTGGAATCCTCAGATCTCAGCCTCCTTGAGTATGAACCACCAATGCTGGCTGTATATATTTATTTTATCACAATCTGCGTGTGTGTGTCTTTTTTTTCTTTTAATGCTGAAATATTAGACAGACATAGAGAGGTACACTTTGAGCCCACAAATCCAGGGCTGACTGTATTTGATTATGAAAAACAGAAGACTTCTATGGGGGTATTTATATTTAGGTAAAAAGACGTTTGGGGGTATTCAGAGAAGCCATTCAGTTTGGGCCAGCTGAGTCCATCAGGCATACAGCAAAAGCTCCCTCTGGAAGCACACCCTAGTCTGTCTCACAGAAGCTAGTATTCGCTGCAGTTTTTAAAGATACTTGTGATGCCCTGAAGTCCAGAAAACACATGTGCCAAAAAGACCTCACCCATGAAGAGGCAAAAACACATCCCATGTGTTGAAATATTGAAAGTATTTCCTGGGAACTTCCTGACCTAGGAAGACTTCTTAGTGAGATGTCTGTCCCTCAGAGCTCCAGATGCATCCTCCATCCAGGCTGACAAGAGGCCATCCCAGGCTCCGCCCTCCCTTTGTCCACAGAGTTTTCTCAACCCTGCCCCCAATCCCACGTCCCAAACAACTCATGATTTAGCACCTTTAAAGGTGATTCTGGGGTTCTCAGTTTTCTCCCAATCCTAGGACTTCTGGCAGATCCATGAACAGAGACTTAATCCAACACCAGGCCCAACACTTCAGCAAGAATTACCATGCTCAACAAGATGGTGGACAGCACCTGCCAAGGGCTCAGCATGCACATCATGTCCACCTCTCAGCTCTCGTCCACCCTGACATCCTCAGTCTCTCATAGGCCCCTGAGGTGACCACAGGCATTATGCGTGTACAGGGCTCATAGCACCAACACTGTGGCAATGTACATGGTTTGAGAATAGCCCTGAACTCCATGAAGATGATTGCTCCATCCACAGCTCCACAGAGTCTGAGGCGACGATTTTTAGGACACTCATTGCAAACCCACAAGCCAAGAGAAAAACCATTTGGTAAAGCTCGCACGTGACTCCCCGGATGGGAGAGAGGAGGTATTTGCAGAGGGACAGCCTCGCTCTTACCTCCTCCAGGGCCCATAAGGAGTCCATCATGGGCTTGATCTTCTTCTGGTTGTAGAGTCCCAGGAGTTTGTCCACCACTCCTCGAATGAGGCCGGCTCGGCCCTGTTTGAAGAGCAGGTTTAAAAGGGAGAAGCCCGCGATGACTTTATTCTCTTCATACAGCTTAATGGGGTTCACCTTCTCCACCTGCCACCACTGGAAGAGAGAGTTGCCTCATTACAAAGACTCCGCCCAGGGCAAAGACAGGGGTGGTGGCAGCTAGGTTGGATCAGCTCTACAGAAGCCAACTATTTGTTCTCCAGCATCTAATCACAAAGCACAGGGAGGAATGAGTAAGGAAGTGATTTGCACTAAATCCGCAGCTCCTCAGTGAATGTTTGTAGAATTCCTATTACCATCGCTGTTCAGCTATAGCTGAGAGAATTCTAGAGCCAGGAGCCGGTGGCTCATGCTTGTAAAAGCCTAGCCACTCAGGAAGCTAAGATCGGAGGGTTGACGTTCAAAGCCAGCCTAGGAGGAAAAGTCCATCCGACTTTTATTGTCAATAAACCCAGCAAAAAGTGGAGGTGTGGCTCAAGTGGTAGAGTGTCAGCCTTGAGTGAAAAAACTCAGGGACAGTACCTAGGCACTGACACAAGTGTACACAAGCACATGTATGCACACACACACACACAGAAGCTATCGTGCTGAAAGGCACTTAATGATACAATGAGTGAGTTAACGTATGTAAGGTGCACATGGTGTCTGATGAGTACTGGGCACGCTATAAACACTTGTATTATCTTAATTTGGAAGGAACGCATGTGACTTCGTGCCTAAGTGCTCTAATTTGGGGTGCGACTGCTCTGTGGGTATTAGCTTCACCTGAGCCCATCATCACTGTGATGGGCTGATATGTCTGATAATGAAATGCCAGCTCGGTGACAGTTCTAAGATGGAGGATAATTTAAGACAGCTGAGTGAGAAATCTCTCTCTGGTTCCAAACACGCCTTTGTCAAATGGACATAAAAGTCTTGTTCTTCTGGAACTTTTCACAACAAAGTCATCACTCCTCTTCTCTGCCTTCTCTTCTGATTCACTTGTAGCCAATTAAGGAGTGATCTCTGAGCTGGAATGACCTCCAGCGACAAGGTGTAATGGTACCCTTGCTTGAGCCGAAGCATCTGTCTCCACACCCTGGCTATCCTTTATAAATACCTTCACAGAGCCCCGGCCCACTGCCACGATTTCGTGAGCATGGCATGTTGAGATGGTGCGTGAAGGGAAAACCCCCTTACAGCCGTCTGTCATTGGGAACCAGCATGGCTCCCCGCAGCTGCCTGTCAGCATCGCATGCCACTGCAGCCCCGTCACCCACATGGCTGAGCGGCAGGGGGCCTGTCTCCAGCCCAGGCTGCCGACAGCGGCCTGCAAGAGGTTCCACTCTTGCTCTTGCACAGCCTGTCAGCCCAATGACCCTTCCATCAGGTTTCCAGGCCCACATAAAAATTCCAGAGTCGGGACTGGGGGTTGACGATTCCGGCAGTGAGTGTTGTCACTTAGAAGGAGCCTAGGAAAACCCCACAGAACCACCCATGGTTCTGTGAGAATGGCCAGCTCTCCCTGCCTGCCCTATGCAAAAAGCTTCCACCCATCCTGCTATTTTTACCATCCTTTTTCTATCCTTGACTGAGATTCGATGTAATATGGGTTTCTAACGTTGGGGTTCTCTCCCTCATTAGACTATTAGAGCTACAAGGGCTCCAAATGGACCCGCTACAGTCGCCATGATACCATGATGCAAGGCACAGAGCCACACATAGTAGGTGCTCATAGAGGGTCTGTATGATAAACACTGATGGAGTGACAGGTCTATCAACATAGCATGGGCTGCACAGGAGACTAAAGAAGCAGCATCTCCTGTGTGGAAGGTGGGGGGCAGAGACAGAGGAGAGCCCAAGCAAGTTTTTTTTGGGGGGGCCCGGTCATGGGGCTTGAACTCTGGGCCTGGGCGCTGTCTCACAGCTCTTTACTTCAAGGTTAGTGCTCTACCACCTGGGCCACAGTGTCACTTCCAGCTTTTTTTTTCCTGCTTATGTGGTGCTGAGGAATCGAACCCAGGGCCTCATGCATGCAAGGCAAGAGCTCTACCACTGAGCCACCTTCCAGCCCCCCAAGCGAGTTTAATTCTAGCATGGATAGCTCTAGATGGGAAGCTGTGTACATGCATAGTGGGAGGAATGCCCAGAGGTAAGTCTTCTCAATGGCAGGCAAAGTAATCGCATACCCAGTTTGTTAAAGCTGAGGGATCTCCACCTCTATTTCTAACTCATAAGGATGGGGACACAGAGAAATCTCAGGTGCCTTCAGAGATCTGGCTAGAAAATAGCCAAAGGGAAAGGCTGGCCACTTTTTGGAGCAAATGCATTGATGCTAATTCTGTGTGTGTGTGTGTGTGTGTGTGTGTGTGTGTGTGTGTGTGTGTGTGTGTGTATTTGTGCCAACACTAGTGTGGGAACTCAGGGCCTAAGTGCTGTCCCTTAGCTTGTTTTGCTTAAGGATGATACTCTACCACATGAAACACAGCTCTACTTCCAGCTTTTTGGTGTTTATTTGGAGATAAGAGTCTCATGGACTTTCCTGCCTGGCCTGGCTTTGAACCAGGATCCCCAGATCTCAGCTTTCTGAGTGGCCAGAATTACAGGCATGAGATACCGGCACCCAGCTGATGCTAACTCATTTTTTGACTGTTGAGAGAAATGGCTACATGCAAACAAGGCCTGCTGAAATAACGATACACGTTTTTCTTTTTTCATCTTCCTGGACAGCCCCACATCTGTGCTTCTTTTAGGCAGCAATATCCAAATGCTGTTCCTGCCATGCACATGGAACTGGGCAGGGATGCAGGCTTGTACTGACAATGGATGATGCAAATGACAGACAACTGACCCATCTTTAGATGGAACTGACAACGTGCAGATCCCATGGTACTTACTGATTTTGCAAAGCTGAAGAAACTCTTGGTCTCTCCAGTTACCATGTTGGATGAGCCTGCCAAGGAAAGATTCCCAGATCAAGCAATTGCTAATGAAAACTCAGTATCTTCTCATTATCCTCAGTATCTTCTCATTATCACGCATGGGATGATGACAGTTGTTTGGTGCAGAATTGGTAGAAGCTTAAAAACAAGTTTAATTCAGCCTTGGGAAAAGGAGGGACTTAGAAATAGGGGATCAGAAGTTGATTATAATGCTAAGGTATCCCTGAGCCAAAGGGGAAGTGACATTTCTCATGGTGACAGTGGGATTATTTTAGAAAACCAGGTGTGACAAAAAGTGATTTAGGTCAACATTTTAATATAATGACTATTTGCTGAAATGTCTCCTTGGGTCTGTTCTCTGTGCCTTGAGTATTGAAGTTGCACAGGAAGCTACTTTGAGGATCTGAATTTGATTGCTGAGTAAGCAAGAGTTTCATTTGTGGAAGCGGGCAGGGAAACTGAGGAGGGCAATATGGATGAACGGAAAGATGAGGCTCAGAATAAGGTAGATGAGGCAAAAAATACATTCAGAAGCCAAAGAAATGGCGTGACCACTGAGTCAGGTCCAAAGATCCTGGGCGGAAAGAAAAAGAAAAAACCACTCGAGACAAAGGGTATGAGAAACTGGGCTTCATCAGCTGGAATAAACAATATGCAGATGGAGATAGAGCTGGAGTTGGGAAAGAGTCTCTAAGATGCACAGAGAGAAAGACGCCTTTGTGAGTTTTCTATGGTAGGTGTAGGGATGAAGAAAGCTTTAGCAACACGGGGAAAAACAATGCTGATGATTCACCAGTGACTTTCTAATGACTGTCACAATTTGCCCCCGAAAGAGTCGGGAGTAAATTCTTCTCAGAGAATAGTTATTTCATGAACAACAAAAGCCACAAAAGAAAACACGTGTTTTATACGTGACTGTGTGGCCTGCGTAAGTTGTCACCAATTAGTTAATCACTGCTCTGATTTGGCAAATGGCAATCATTAGCATGCCAGCATCGGCTTCTATTCCTGAGTCACCAAGTAATCAATGCAGTTAATTAGATAATGGTGACATAAGCAAGTTGAAAGTGCACCCAAATGACGTCGTGGGGGGAAAAAATAGAAATCCCGGTAATTGGTCAGTAAGGACGAATCAATGGTCCATCCACATTTTGTTAGTCATATCCGACATCCGAACAATGTCCACTGACTTCTTAGGTTCTCTTTTCAATAATTAATGTGTCCAGTCTCCAGGAAAAGCACACAGTCAGGATAGAAACAATCAGAACACCCCCAGCAATGAAATGGTTCCCAAGTGTGGTAAGCTCAACTTTTTTTTGTTACAGTGATTTGATGATGACAAAAAAAATCCTATTTATAGCCATCAAATATGTCTTTTATAAGCTCTACAGCTAATAGCAGAAGGATTTTCTTTCTCAGTTACTCAGAGTTAAGGCTCAATTTCCATTGTGCCTGTGGGGCAGTGAGGTGCCAAGAATTTCAAATGGCAGATCACTCTGGTATCATTTCACTGTAGAATATGACTCTGGCTTATCTGTGTCTTTTCTGACATTGTGCAGGCTGATATGCAAATGAGCTGCCTGCCTAGGATGGTGGACAAGGAAGAGAAGAGGAAAAGAAAGGTTTCCAGTCTTGGTTTAGCTTGGAAAATTACTCCTACTTGTTTTCATAAATCTTTTGCACACTCAAGCGAATAGAAGCATGTGAGACAGACAGGTGAGCAGAGACAGGAATAGACATGTATGCAGAAATAGAAATAGACTGCTAATCCAGGGCTCACCTCTTCCTTGGGATATTCAGGAGTAGATGAGAGAAAAAGGGGTGGGTGGTGTCTGTTTTCTGCAACTTCACCAACTCTTGTATCCCATTCACTGGCCCCCATCTAGTGGCTTCCTTCAAAGCCATTAGTATTTTCCACCTTCCGGAGGTCAAGTCCCTTAAAGGTTCTACTCATTCTCATTGACCACACTGGTGTGGCCCTGCCTTCACCCAAACACAGACTGAAATTATCAATCTCCAGTCCTACACCCCCAATGTATCCACACCATTTCTGGTTTTGGAGCCAAGTGCCCCCTGTGACTCACCCTGCCCCTCTATGCACACTCACCATATAAAATGTAGGTCCCCAGGGGTTTCAGAAGACTGAGACCCTTGCCAGTGTTGTCCCCACACAGGCAGTCCAACACAACATCCACGCCCTCAGCAGAGATCCTGAATGGAGGGAAGAAAAGCAAAATGCTGTCGGATGTCAGAAACCAAGGAGTACAGCCCTTTCCTTCCCTGTGTCCCATCACTTGACTTCCAGAATAGGAATGGCAGAGCTCCTGGAGAGGCCTTGGAGGGAGGTTTATCTCCAAAGTCCAGCTACACACACCCCTTGCCTTGCCTTACTATGTGGGTCCATCCCGAGAGGCCTGTGGCAAACGGAAAAGAGTTCGCAGACCCCACCTCAACGCAGGTCAGCAGCACGGTGCACTGCAGCCATTAGCTCCTGATTTCTTAAGTGGAAAGTTGTGATTGGCCGAGGCTGCACAGCATCATGGGAGAAAAATCACACTGTATATCACTAGACCACCGGATGGGATCGGGGTGAGAGACCCAAGTTCAAAAAATAGAAGCACAGTTTCCACTGAGTGCCTACTACTCCCAGGCCAACGTAAAGTCAAAATATCCTCCTGAGCCAGGAACTGGTTATATAAGGATGTCACAAGGCCGGGGACAGCCAAGCCTTTGTCTGACAGCAAGTACTGAGGAGGAGCGTGGGGAGAATGAACTCAGGCATTGAACTCAGAGGGCCTGAGTTTCTATCTCTCTGCCTCACTCTACTTCTCTGAGCTCTAACTCCTTCCTTGTCAAAGTGGTTCCTTGGTTTGTGGTAAGAATGAAATGAGGCAACAAAAAAAACATTGGTCCCAGGCTTGGCACAGCAATCATTCAGCACATTAGTTAACAGCTAAAGGCAGAGCTAAGAGATGGTTCAGGCTCTGTCCAAAGTGCTGAAAATGACTCATCGGTGGTGAAGGAGACGAGAACTCAGCATTTCCTGCTCTTTACTGGCTGCTAGCCCAGTGGGGCAGGCCCCGAGAGATCTAACTTTCAGACTTCTCTTTGTACAGCCTCTTGGGACAAACTAAAACTGAATGTTACGGTGAAGGAGTAAAGAGAGAAGTACTTCCTTCAGTGATGGAAGAGTGTCATAGAGAGAATCCACTTTTGTACTCCACTGGAGAGACCGAACAATCATCGTCCTATTCATTTATCTACCCATTGATGGTCTCCCTCAATCCACTTGACAGACATTTGCTGCTTCTAGACGATATCGTAGAGGGACTAAAGAATGGGAGGCTTGGGAGATGGGAAGGAAGGAACTCAGCCCATGGAGATTCCCTGTTAAACAGGCTGGCCCTGTTGTGCTCAGACAGGAGTAGCATTTCCCAGTTCTGTCCGTGTGTGTGAGATAATCTTGTCTTAGCAAAAACCTTCATTTTTCTAGCCTCATCTTTACCCCAGTGAAATTCAGGCACCACAGTGTATATCAAGATCTGGGAGCAAGATCCCATCTCAAAACTGAGCAGTAAAGAACATGGCTAGATGGCGGTGGTAGAGCAGCAGGCTAACAAGTACAAAGCCCTGAGTTTACACCTCAATAGCACCCAGTTCCAGTCCATCAGCCACTACACCCATGGTGAAAAAGCCTGAGAATCACCAGCCGAGCCAGCTGACCGAGTAGAGGTATCGGCTACCCTCCTGGCTCACTCACCTCCCATATCTAGGAGTGTCTGACAATGACGTCAATGCAGAACATAGAGAGGGTGAGGCCCAAGCATCGTGGTTTGGATGTCTGCTTTCCTTGCTGCCACGAATCTCCGCTGATTTAGAAAGCAAACATGGATAGCCCCAGCTCTGGGCATAATTCAGCAGTGAGATATTTTGGAATTCCTGACCCAAGATCTTTGTGTGGCTTCTTCCTTTGTGCCCAGCTACTTCTGGCCGCTGTGGGATAAATCTTACCCTTGCTTCCCACCTGAACAGATCAAGGAAGAATGTGCTAGAGTAGAGATCCCCCAACAGTCCGTACTGAGAGACCTTTTCCACCTTGCCAGGAAGTGAATTCCTCTTAGTAAAGTCCACTTAGACCCTTCGCTCCCCTTGCTCCTTCTGAGTGTCCCTTTTTTACCTAAGGATTTGCCTGTCTCCTATATCTGCTCATCTCTGGCACATAGTAGGATTCTCATGACAATGACACACAGTAGGCTTCTTACTGAATGCTTACTACTGATGGCTTCCGTGGGTACTCAGCCACATCACTCCAGAAAATCTTTTCTAGATCTCTGTCTCACTAGTGTCTCTAGGTGACTTGAGTCTCATTCATTTCCCCTGGTAGTTTAGTAAGCACCCACTATCTTCTAGGCACTCGGGGTACAGAAGAGAAGGAGGTAGAGATGGTGTCTGGTTTTTGGAGCTCACACCCTCAGCCTCACCTTTGACCTAAGTCTGAGATTTGGGCATTTGAGTGAGTGGAATCCTCCCACAAAGAGCAGGGTGTTTCCCTGCAGGGGCTTGGTGGTAACCAGCCTGGCTCTGTCTAGTCTGTTTCTCCATCTTTTAGAACTGGTACACCATGGGCAAGTGCTTCTTGTGCCCCAGATCCATGCCCCATCTCCCCCCTTTCCTTGCTCTATTGCTGTGTTTATGGCATGTAAAGGACATCATCATCACTTCCGACGCCCCACCGCTGATCCACCGCCTGATCCCAGTATGAAGAAGTCTTGCTTGCAGTGTCATGGGTCACTGTGTCTCATGCTCTTTCAAACTCCCAGTGGCTTGGCCTTTTTTTCCCCTGATTTGCTGGTTCCCCTGACTGAGGTGTTCCTCTCCCCCTCAACCTGCACACTGTGGTTAGATCTATCTTGTTTTGTCATAGACTCTTCTTTCTCTCTGCTTCAGATCGGCATTGCTGACTCCATTACTGACATCATCCAATTTGAACTCCAGGTCGGGACTTCGAGGAGCCTTGTCAGGGGCTCTGTTTCTAGCTAAACGCATCTGGTCCAGCGTAATTGGACAGATTGGTGGGGTCCAGGGATATCTATCGACACAGGCACAGGAGATGTCATGAGCAGCTCAGGGTCAGAGCAGCTCTGCCAGTTCCAGGATTGGGACATACCAGGCTGCAGTGTGCACTGTCAGGTCTTGGGGGTTGGGTGGGCGCTACTTCATAAACAAATGAGTGAGGACTAACACTGCTGCTAAGCTTTCTACAACTCATAGAATGGACTCTAGAAGGCCTGATATATACCAGCCCTCTCCTTATCAGGACACCCTCAGGACCAGGCTACACCTTGGCTCCCTTCTCTGAAAGGACAATGTCTTCTTTGTAAAATGAAGACAGGACCAGTGACTCAGGCCTGCAATCCTAACCTCCTCATCTCAGGAAGCTGAGATCTTAGAACCGTGGTTCAAAGCCAACCCAAGCAGGAAAGCCCATAAATTTTTTTTTAAATCTCCAATTAACCAGCAAAAAGCCACAAGCAGAGGTGTGGTTCAAGCGCTAGCGCGCTAGTCTTGAATAGAAAAGTTAAGGGACAGTATCCAGACCCTGAGTTCAAGCCCCAATATTTGTAAGGCCCAAATTGGGCTCCCCTGTATCATCTGGGCTTCTGTTTGATGTTGCTTGCCTGGAACCCCAGGTGCCCAGTACCCCCCTCTTGAGGGTGAACCCCACTATCTTGCTCATTGAGCTGTCTCTACAACTTTGGATTTCCGAACATAGGTATCTGTGTTTCAGGCTCATTGATGTGTCTGTGTGGTAAATAAAGAAATATCAATGATACTTGAATAAATGAATGAATGAATGACCAAGATCTCACATCATGCTGTGCACCACTTACCACCAGCTGAAATTTCAGATACATGCTTTGCAAACACAGCTGTAGATGCAATAAACTACACAAATGTTAAGTGTGCAATCCAGTGAGTTGTGACATTGGTTTGCCCCTGTGAAAACATCACCATCATCCAGGTATGGGAGGTATCCTTGCAGCTCAGTAAGTAACCAAAATAGGGATTGGCAGGGAATTCATAAACTCATCTCGGTGGTACAACTGGGTTCTAAGTCTCAGTTTCAGCCTCTGTGAAATGAGGATTTTTTTTCTTTTCACTCAGAACTGTGAGTTGCACATATCATAGTCTCAGCAAGTTTTTGACAAAGAAGGAGGAGGCCAACATCTTACCTGCCTTGCCAATCTCAGCTCCCCTTGCTGAGACACTTTGCCCAGCAGTAACACCTTCCTTATCTCTCTAGTGCCCCCTAGGGGTTTGTTTGCTGTGACCTTCTCTCTGATCTCTTACTTCTCAAGTCCTATTTGTAGTCAGGTGTGCAGGACTTGATGTTGCTAACTCTCTTGTTACCGCATTATCTGTTTTCTCTCAAAGAGATGGACAGTGTCTAGATGTAAAGGTTAAGTCTGCATTGTTGTAAATATTATTTCTCTGTTCCTCTTATGATGTATGGCTCCAGGCCAAGCGTGCATTCAAAAGATGATTAAGGATCAATTGGTTTATAAGAGAGTTTTCATCTCAGTAAGGTTTATTTCATTATCTTCTTGTTTGCTGTACGTGGAGCTATGTCTGTAATCCAAAGGCAAACAGAAATTGCTCTGCATAACATGCTGATTGCATGTTAGCACGTGGATATTTTGCTTTGGCTTTATGTCCGTATGCACTGAGAATTTGCACAAAGCCGTCATTGCAATGGGATGGAAACTGGCATTCTGCCTGTATCCCCCTTACTATGATAAATTCTTTTAAAAGAAATTTCCACACTGTCTTTCTAATGGTCATTTTTAGGGGCTGCATAATACTTTAGCATGTGGGGGCAGCGTGTTCGATCACAGTTTCTTCTGTCGGTGATGGCTGCTGGCTGCTGGAACTTCCACTTAGGGGCCAGGCTGCAATTTACTGTCGACATCCACTGAGCACTGATGACACAGAAATATGACACAGACACAGAGCTTGGCTCTGCGACAGACAGGTTGGTACCTGCAGCTTTAAGCTTAAATCTGGGCTGTTTCCTAAGGGGAGGATTCTTGGGTAGACGCTAAAATCATGCTCACAGCATCCTGGTCATTTGTAGTCGAATCCTAGCCTCTCTACTGAAAACCTCAAGGAGCCATGGGAAGTCACATTTGAGGGAAGGTACCAGGAGAGGTGGGTTCAGATGTTGCTGCTGTCTGCTTTCCAGACAGCGGTAATCCAGGAGTGAGCAAGCAGGCCAAGGCTGGCCAGGGGCTGAGGGGAAAAGGAAGTGGAGGAGGCAGGAGGAAGACATCATTTTTACAGAAGAGCAGCCATCTCCTGATATCCTGACCCTCTTCCTCACATCTTCCTGCCTCCAGCTTGCCTGACCTCCTTTCAGAGTGCTGAATTGGCCCCCAGAGCCTTGGCACATGCCATTTCCTTAGTCCAAAGTACTCTTTGCATTGGGTAAACACACCCTTCAACATTAGGCTCAAAGCATCATATGGTTGGTGAGAGCATGCCTTTCTCTACCAGAGCACACATCAAAAGAGCCAATCAATTCATGCTCTGCACTATGTGGTTTTTTTTTAAATTGTAAGCTCCATGCACAGGAGCTGGAGTGAAGACCGTTCCTAGAGCACCCTGCTTCTAGCTCTGTTCTTCCTGTGGTAACCATAGCCTGTGCCTCACTCTTCAGAAGAGTACTCTGTGTAGAGTAAGCATGTGAGCATCTAAGTCAGAATGCCTGGTTCACACCTAGGCTCCTCCATGTGCTATCTGCACACAGCAAGATGAAGCTGTCCCCAAGACTGCTTCCAGTAAGGTGGCCAAGGGCCTGAGCACAAGCAATCACATTTGAGCACGATGTGTGTGTATTCATTCTGGGACTAACACATAAAATCCTTCCATTCCTGAACTTCCAGCCAACCACAAGCAAAAGACCCTAAGACCCTAGACAAGAGCGGAACCGGAATTCATCAAGAGCTTGGTGGGTCCCTGAATTTCCTTACAGAAGATTATCCAACTTGAGCTGTTTACAAGTGGATGGGAAAGAAAGGTCTAGAGGTTAAGACTAGCAATAGCTAACAAAACTTCCACATATTCACTCTGTAAGTTACTTAATTACTTAATTGCTTGGTTCTGTGGGGATGACAACAGATGTTTATCATTATTACTACTGTTAGCCTTGATTTATTTATTTATTCATTCATTCATTTTTATTTGCTGGTCCTGGGGCTTCACCTCAGGGAGCTATCCCTGAGCTTTTGGGCTCAAGGCTGGCACTCTAGTACTTGAGCCACAGCTCCACTTCTGGCTGTTTTGTGGTTCCTGGGAGATAAAGAGTCTCACAGACTTTCAAACCCAGCTGGCTTCAAAACACAGATCCTCAGATCTCAGCCTCCTGAGTAGCTAGGATGACAGGCGTGAGCCAATGGCACGCTGGCTGTTAGCCATCTTTTAAACACATGCTATGATTGGTTGAGAGAAGAGACAGGGTCGGCCTGGTGCTGACCGGAATGAACGCCTTACTTTTTCACTTCTTGTACGTAGTCTGCATTCCTGTCAAACAGGTGAGTCACGGAGTCTTTGATTGCTTCGTGCTTGAAAGTAGAAGCGGTCCCAAAGACAGTCACATTGGGGACAGTGGAGCACAGCTGAGCCACAGCTTGACCCTGCAGATGACATGAACAGGTGAGTCACACCCAAGAGCCAGTAAGTTAAATGAGGTGTCAGCTGACCCAAGTCAATGGTCTGAGACAGAATGCACATTTCACAGACCCTCAATAAATCTTCATTATCTCACGCACTACCAGTCCTGTCGGAGGTAGGATGCGCTTTCAGCTCTAGCACTATGAACATGTGTCAGGTTGGGTCAATCTTGGTGGTGTATCGATTGTGCATTACAGAATGCTCAGCACTCTTCCCAGCTTCTGCTACACACCAACTGCAGCTTCATTTTTCTGACTGTAACAGCCAAAAATGTGTACACACGTTGCAGCATCGCAACGAAACCTGTCTTGGGTAAAAGCCACTGGTGCCGAGAAAACTCACCAGAAATCAAACAACCTCAGCAAGAGACTGAACTATTTTTACATGTGCCCTCCTGGGACTTGGACTCAGGGCCTTGCACTTGCTAAGCAATGTTCCACCACTTGAGCCACACCCTCAGCCCTTCTGTTTTCATTTTTTTGAGATAGGATCTTCCTGAATTTGCCCAGGCTGGCCTTGAACTGTTAATCCTCCTGCCTCAGCCTCCCAAGTTAGCTGGGATTACTGATGTATACCACCAGGCCCTGTCTCAGAAAATAGCTTGGTATTAAGACCAAAGAAGAAGGTAACAAATAAAGGTTATCAAGCCCACACCCCCCCATGGGCAACTGGAGCTTACTTCTTCTGAGGACTTCCATGAGAAGGTGCAGCTACACCTCAGGGTTATTCCAACCAAGAGATGACAAAGCTTCAGTATTTATCCAACTATCCCCACCCTGGGGTTGGTGAAGGGCTACAGTAACCCTTGCACACATCTGGCTTATTCCACTAGGCCTAGGATGTTCTGTGGCAGAACCTCACAGCAAGCAGCCTTCAGCATACCCAGCAGCCCTCTGTATAAGTCAAGGACCGGGTACAAAAATGTGATACTCAACAGGGACTTGATAAATCTTCATTATCTTTCCCCTTAGGAGCTTATTATCTCTGGGGCTGAATGAAGGTGCTCTGGCATATAAAGAAAAGATCAATAAGAGGTCTTAAATATGAAATGGTCTAGGGGGAAATTATAAGTGCCGTTTTCTGTGCCCTCTTCCAATATGGTGGAAATTCAGGATACTGGATGCAATACTGCGGCCACATGTGTTCTTAAATCTTCCAGTAAAAACCACGTTGTTTTTAATGAAGATGCATTCCAAAACCACCATCTCTTTCCGGCATTTCATTTGGGGAAATTATCCTACCAAAGCCATCTGCCATGTGCATTTCTGCCTCTCCTCTTATTTTCATGTCTTCAATATGGTGGATAATTCCGGTTGGCAGGTCAATTTATGGAAATGTTATCTTATGATGGATTGCAATTAGAGGCAACCTGGAGGGACTCACAGGATGTCACAGGTGGAAGACTGTCCTGTGCATCTCCCTATTGTTTTATAGATGACAGAGAGGACACCCAGAAAAGGCAAGAAGCCCGCCCGCAGGTTTTCAAAGGAGAACTCTGATTTGAGCCAGTGCCATTTTCTATTATTTTGTGCTGCCAACTTACTTGGACATTTCAGCTAAGTAGACTTTCATGTCTTAAATAGACATGTCACTGGCACAGTCCCTTGGGGGCCAACACATAGATGTGAAACTAAGACCGGACAGGCGATGGGTCTCTGTGCTAAGAATAGTTTTGATATTTGCTTAAGTTTTCTATCCCAGACTTTGTAGAACAAAGAGGAGTCTATCCTTCTTAGTGAGTGTAAATCCCAGTAACTGATGTAGTAAATCCTTAAAACTCATTGGCCTTACATACATTAATGAATGCCAGCTGCATAATTGCAGGGCTTGAGCTAACTTTGTTAGTACTGGGGCAGGAAATTAGAAATTAGTTCTAATATCCTGCGGTCTCCTTTCTGTTGTCTGTCCTCAGGCAAACAGGACAATTCTTCATTCTCCTCTATAAGTCTATCTAAGTCTATAAGATGTGCTATAAGATGACAATGTTGGAGGCGACTGCTATGCCCTTATTACTACTTCCCATGTCTTCACACATGGCTGCCATTTTGGCATGTAACTCTACCTGGCTGTCCCCAAAACAATACAGAAACTCAACAGATCCAAAACAAGGTTCACAATCATCTCCAAATGAGCTGTTCTCTGAATGCATTTGCTAGAGTGCCACAGCTAGGTTGCTTTAACATAGAAACCTCTTCTCCCATGTGGGAACTCTAAGACCAAACTAAGGTATAGGCAGGGTTAGTTTGTTCTACAGGGAGAGAGGGAAAAACCTGTCCAGGGCCTCTTTCCTTGGTTTGGAGGTATCTACCTTTCTCCTTTCATCTCTTCTCTATAACAGTTCCTTGTCCAAATTTTGTGCTCTTATGAGGATACCAGTGCTTTTGGTTTAGGGTTCATTTCTGTGTGACACACTTCACTAATGTCTTTCCATTCCATCCATGTCGCTGCTGATAGTAGAATTTCATTCTTTTTTTTTTTCTTCCTGGCCAGCCCTGGGGCTTGAACTCTGGGCCTGTACACTGTCCCTGAGCTTCTTTGGATCAATGCTAGGGTTCTACCAACTGAGTCACAGCACCACTTCTGGCTGAGCAGTTTATTACAGACTTTCCTGCCCAGGCTAGCTTCAAACTTCAATCCTTAGATCTCAGCTTCCTGTGCAGCTAGGATTATAAGCATGAGCCATCAGTGCTCAGTTATATCGTTCTTTTTATGGCTGGATATTTTTCTGCTTATGTGGTGCTGAGGAATCGAACCCAGGGCCTCATGCATGCAAGGCAAGCACTCTACCACTGAGCCACCTTCCCAGCCTATTTTTCCATTTTGTATATGTAACACTTTTTAAAATCGATTCATCCATTGATAGGCATCTAGGTTGAGTCTACAGTTCAGACACTGTGAATACCATCCTGATGGAGGACAGATGGGACTTCCATATATTGATTTCAATCCTTTTAATGGAGCTGCTGGATCATATGGCAATTCTATGTCTAGTTTTTGTGCCTTTTTTTTTGAGAAGCTGCTCTACTATTTTCATAAGTGCTATACTAATTTACATTCCCATCAACAGTATAAGAGAACTTCCCTTGCTCCACTGAAGCATAGATTTCATTAGCAAATGCCACCTCTCACAGAGGCGGAACTTGACCATTTCCATTTTAAGGAGGGAAATACTCACGGGAAAGAGGGAGAGAGGGAGGGAGAGGGAGAGAGAGAGGGTTGCTAACATACAGTCATGTGCCACTTAATGGTAGGGGCACGTTCTGAGAAGCGCTTCGTTTGGTGACTTCATCACTGTGTAGCATTATTGTGTGCACCTGCAAACCTGGGCGCAGAGACTAATCACCTGATTCAGCCTATCACGAGATTGAAAGGCCACTCCCTGGGTACCACAGCATACTGTTTTACAGTAGGGTTTATTCCCATGGATAACACAGTCACTTATCCTGTTCTGTACTTTTCTATGGCTCACAAAGTTGGTTTATACAGGACTCACCACAGAAATATAAGCAATGGGTGATGATACCATGATGTTTCAACGGTTACAATGCCATTAGGTGGTTCAGATTTGTTTTTGGCTCTGTTATGTATCTCATGAAGCCAACGTATGTGCCTGTTGTTAACTGAAATAAGCAAATGTGCCTCTAAATTATTTCATATAGCATATGCTATATTTCTCATATGGCATATAAGTATCACATAAATATATATGTAGAGCATGTATTATATGATCGCATAAAACCAGAATCACATATAATTTGTGTATGTTGGTATCATGTGCACATACAATTAGTATTTATTATATATAAATTATAAATTAATAATATAATTATAAATGTGGTATATAATATATAATTATCATAAATCATTTTAGTTATAATTTATATTGTTACATATTACACAGTAATATGGCATTATGACTACTTATTATACTATGTAATTATTAATATACTAATATATAATTACCAGCTAATTATATATTCAATTAATATATGGCATGTAGTATTTAATTAATAATAGACAATTAGGACTATAGTGATGATATAACTCATGCCACGGAAGCACTGCTTGGGAAACACAAACTCAGAATACATCTATCTGCAGCCTTCCAGTACAGGCAGTAGGAGCCCTCAGTGAGTTTTCTTAATAGTAAATAATGCTCGGTATTTAAAGAGCTTTCCTTGCAGTTATAGAAAATCTGTACCCTTTCCCCCACTTCCAGCTGTTTACTCTCATTTCTCCTTCTTGCCTAGTAAATACCATACACTCGATAACTACTTGGGGAAGATGGAATGAATGTTCAGTAAAAAGTATTTCGCAATGAACCTGCAGACCCAGGACATGAAATGAACAAGGCCATCCCTTTGCCCCAAGGTTGCAGCACAGGGGGAGAGAGATGTGCTGGTTTTCATTGCCTTCCCTTCCCTCGTGAGTGAGCTTCCGCACGAAGGCCCCATTCTCTTCTCAATGGCTGAGAGTACACTGGAAAAGGAGCTGTGCGTCTTTCATCCCACGATGAGTAAGGCCCAATGCTAAATGGCACCACAAGTCCTCAACACACCTTTTCAGTCATATTTTAGCTGCCCATATATACCCATTTATAATGGGGATGGTGAAAACAAAAAAGGGCTTTTAAAAGCCAGTGTCCCTGACTCTAAAGTCACACTCAGATCGTCCTCCTATCTGTCCCTATGAGCACTCAGGCTGTTGAGCTGGGAACCAGCATGGTAAGGAAATGCAGGTGTCCCCAGACTTGGTGTGAAAGGCTTCATGATAATATCTTTGGAGAGATTTACAGCCACATTTCTATCAGCCCGATCTATGTTCTGGGGCTTGGAGAACCAGACCAGAGACCTCAGGAAACCTGGGGAAAGTTGTTACAGCTACTCTGGGTCCTTATATAACTCTTAATGACAGACAAGCAGTTTCAAGTAAGATCTACTTACAGAAGAGCCAAGCATGGTAG